CGAAAATGTCGTTGCCGCCATATATGATACCACCCAATGCCTGGGCGGCACAAATAATGGCGCAGCAGCACGCTCAGGCTTATGCTGCTGCCGCTCAGGTGCAGCAAGCACAAATGCACGCACATCAAATGGCTAATCAAATACAACAAATACCTCCACCGGGCGCACCGTTGGCAGGGCCAATGACAAACGGCAATGTTGGGATGCAACCAGGTGGAATGGGGGGTGGTGGTATAACTCAAGCAAACCTTGGACAAATACCGACGCCCAAACCGGACATCATTACTGAAGAAAAATTACAAGAAAAAGCGCAAAAATGGCAGCAATTGCAATCGAAGCGATTTGCAGAGAAACGAAAGTTCGGATTCGTGGATGCGCAAAAAGAGGACATGCCTCCAGAGCACATCCGCAAAATTATACGGGATCATGGTGATATGACATCGCGCAAGTATAGACATGACAAGCGTGTATACCTAGGTGCCTTGAAATACATGCCACATGCTGTGTTAAAACTACTTGAGAACATGCCAATGCCCTGGGAGCAGATACGAGATGTGCAGGTGTTGTATCACATAACAGGTGCCATCACATTCGTCAATGAAATACCATGGGTTATTGAGCCAGTTTATATTGCTCAATGGGGGTAAGTGATTGGCTGACGATAACAAGTCATCCTGATAATAATTGTTGCAAAAACTTATTTTCCGTAATGATAGAACCATGTGGATTATGATGCGTCGAGAAAAACGTGATCGTCGCCATTTCAAACGTATGCGCTTTCCACCCTTCGATGATGAGGAACCGCCATTGGACTATGCAGACAACGTTTTGGACGTGGAACCTTTGGAAGCCATTCAGATCGATTTAGATTCAGAGGAAGATGGCGCCGTTTATAAATGGTTCTACGAACATAGACCATTAGTTGGTACTCCGTATGTTAATGGCTCAACATATCGTAAATGGAACTTAACTTTGCCACAATTGGCTACATTGTACCGTTTGGCCAATCAGTTGCTGACAGATTTGGTAGATGATAATTTCTTTTATCTTTTCGACCCGAAAAGTTTCTTTACGGCTAAAGCATTGAATATGGCTATACCAGGTGGTCCCAAATTTGAGCCTCTTATAAAAGACCACAACGTTGGGTAAGTTAAACTACATTCGCACATTTTAACCCCAAAATGTATACGAAACTACGGACATTTATAAATTTGTATTCATATAGCGATGAAGATTGGAATGAATTCAATGACATTAACAAAGTTATAATACGGCAGCCGATTCGCACGGAATATCGCATTGCTTTCCCTTACCTTTACAATAATATGCCACATTTCGTGCACCTTTCCTGGTAAGTAGAGCGCACAAAATATATTTACATTTACACTTTGCACTATTATAGTCCACTTCAAAACACAGAAAGCCAATGAATTGTGGTTTCTGTATCTTCATATATTGGTGGTACATAAAACAAAACTCATAAGAAAATTACTACTTTCAAGCGACTTAGACAAGTTTTTAGAGGTGCAATTTGCGTTTTAGCTGTATTATAAAGTTTACAACCTATAGCTGCTGACAGTTGCATACATTTGACCCGTATTTACCTTTTCATATCAACATAAATTATAAATGCATACGTATGTATGTACGTAAAAGAAATTATTAAATTTCTTTCATAGTGCCCTTAAATTTTGTTTCCTCTCAGGTATCACACACCCAACGTGGTTTATATTAAAACTGAAGATCCCGATTTGCCCGCTTTTTACTTTGATCCACTCATCAATCCTATTTCACATCGCCATGCTAATGCTAAAGTGGTAGAGCCTATGCCAGATGATGACGAGGACTTCTCTTTGCCCGATGAGGTACAGCCCTTCCTGCAGGACACACCGCTTTACACTGATAATACAGCCAATGGTATAGCGTTGCTTTGGGCACCGCGGCCTTTCAATCTACGTTCGGGTCGTTCGCGACGCGCTATAGATGTGCCGCTCGTGAAAAGTTGGTACAAAGAACATTGTCCACCTGGTCACCCAGTCAAAGTACGTGTGAGCTACCAAAAACTTTTGAAATATTACGTTTTAAATGCACTGAAGCA